AAGAGCGACAATTACACAGCCAATTAAGCTGCTCATTAAGCGCGTTCCGCTTAATCAAACTACGGCGGTGACGGCGGGGACTAAACGCAGCGCACCGGTGTCGTCGCGAAGGCGGTGGACGCACCTGAAGGTCCGGGGAGTGTGTTGTGTCTGCGAGACCGGCCCAGGCCGCTCGTGTTAATTGAGCCCAGTTGTTTTAATTGCTAATTATTGCCAATTGTTTAGCTGTTTTTGATTGGGTTTCGTGTCGTGCTCGCTTTGTGTCGCTGTGGAACAGGTGGCAGCATACGTGCGCGTTCACACGGTCCTCTTACTTGGATTGAGTTCCATGGTTTGAATCCATCTGTGCGGAGTTTTGAGTGTTATCTCCCCTCCCCCCCCTCTAAGCTTTTGTGTTTTCATATTTTCCTCCCACACTAAGCCAAACTCATTCACGGAATTGGCCAAACGTTCCAGTGTAGCAGGACCATTTTTTTTTAAAGATTATTGGGCCTCTTTGTAGCTTTCCTCTGTATATTGTAGGGTTCGTTTGGATGTACTGTCCCCCGCCATCGTGATATGGAATTGCCACCACGATACAGGAGAACGAGGGCTGCTCTCCGCTCGTTTGATTAGGAACCCACGTTGGATCATCTCATTGAATTCAATGAAGAAGTGAATCCAGTTGGGTGTGATACGATTTGAATGTTTAAATCCAAGTTCTCTTTAAAATTACAGTTTGCTTTTTAGTTGTTATCGCTACTCGTTACTTGAATTCCGCTTTTTTTATGGAGCCTGTTTAGTTCAGTTGTGTGAAGAGCTTCAGTGGACCTATACATAGCGATTCGCTTTTGACCAAAAATGGGAAATGCTCAACAGATGCTCAACAAAACAAACTTTTGTTCGCCACAAAGTGGCGGTGACGTCCCCACGGCACCTGTGCCAGGCTAGATGCTCTTGGACACCACGTGCAGTGTCGATATGACTATCAGATACTCTCACATACGCGTGCGACATGTACAGTCTATTAACCTTTCCTATATACAATGCTCTCGAGCACACACTTATACTGTATACACACATATGCTCGTGTATTTATACACACCTTTCCATATCTCCGTACGCACACACACGTATTCGTTGCTTTGCTCTTTTGGTGACCGCTTGGCATTTTGAGCCTGTGCTTCTCAACCGTGATAAAAAATAAATATCAATGTATACATAGCAGTGAATTGACGAGGGCTGTGCATGCCTAGATCCGGATTCTATTCTTATTAGATAGCTCATTGGTGGAACGAACGGCCCGCAATCGGACGGTTCCCATTTCAATTACATGCTGGGGGTTGATTCAGCCCATCATTTTGTTGGGGTCGATTGTTTATGCCCCACTTTGTGTGTGTGTGGGGGTAGTCATCAGTGGCTGTCCTGTGAATAGATTCTCCCCAGCAGAGGATTGTGGAATTCTCACCGCTGGCACAGGGACTTTAAACAAGGGGATGTGAACATCGCCTTAATGAGCACAAGGAGCAGAAAACAATTGGGACGTTTTCCGACACTACGCTTGGTTTATTCTCAATTGAAGGGCTATACTGCCTAATGAGGCCGGATTGAATGCAGGGAAACGATCTAGTTGCAGGCGAATTCCTCATGTGAAACTAATAATCTGGGTAAGTCACCGTGTCTCTCGAGTACTGGCACTGTACACGGCTTCAACCGAGCCACTGATGGGGGTGGAGTGTGTTAGTCCAGTCTAGGAAGTGTTGTCTGCATTCGTGCTTACAAAACCTGAGCGCTTTTAGTGTTTGTTTTTGGCTGGATATCCAAGGGGCCAGTCCTTGTGTGTGTGTGTGTGTATATCGCACTCGCATCTCAGTAATTCATTCTTTTTGTGCCGATTATTTGCCGCGGTACACTGAGTGGCAACGTGTGTTGTAAAACAATTCGGTGCAGTTGTCACTCGACAGTACAAGGAAACTTGCACGACAAGTAGCGATGCGAGGACAAAATAAACGTGGGGGCATATCGGGGCATCTTCCTTGTATGGAGAGGAGGCCACCCATATGAACACCCTCTTTTTGTACATGTTCACGCATATCCCTTTGTAAATCTACTGCTGGATGAGGGCCTCCCCACACCAGGGCTACGTGGTGGGTGGTGGGTGGCGGTCTGGCAACATCCCTTGCTTGACTTGACTACTTCTAACTGCATGAGCCCCCCTAAAGTTCCCCCAGAGATGCCTGCTGACCATAACAGTTGAGGAAAAATTCGTTGATTTTGATTGGGCAATAATATTCAGTTTTACGATTAGATAAAGACTTGGCCTAGCAATGGTATTACATAACTATTTCATAGTGCTTGTTAAATGACATTTGTGTTTTATAGTGTCCATCGTATTATTATATGGCCTGGCTTGTTTATAAGTGACTGGATTCATCAATATAATAATGGCATTTGGATTCACATCGAGTCTAAATGTCATCTGATCATTCAAGGCACTGTACAAGTTTAGGGGATGTGGCCTGGCATTGCATCAAATCAGATTCCACGTGGCTTTTCCGTAAGGTCGCTATTGGTCACCAGTTCAGTGTGTTTCTTTATAAGTATCGCAACTTCTGCTTCATTCCCATACAGAGGTATTCTTCACATTGAGATGTATGTCAAAGCAAATGTTGGGCATCTTATAATCCGTCAAGTGCGACCGAGTTTTTACAATTGATGGTAAAAACCCGCTCTCAATGACAATCTTTCAAATACCTTTTATTCCTTCAAAATTGTGTTCTACTTCAAAATGTTAGTAGTTTTTCGGTACAAATGACAAAACTCTCCATCGTAGGACCCACAGACCACGTTGATGACTACGCTTTCATCTCGCTTGCATCAGTTTTCTTTCATGCAGACGTAAGCCACGCAAACATTTCAATGAGTATTATTGCACATTAAACTTAAATGGCACGCGTAATTCACATTGATATGATGTGTAAATTGCATGCATGAATGTATTTCGTAATTAGATGCCCTCATTTTGATGCGGGGTAGAGTGGTGGAGCGGTGGATAGCACACTGCACTTTGAACTTGGCAACCTGAGTTTCGTTGCCAGCCGAGGCTAATGTCATTAGTAGGTTTTATATGAACCGGTCCTGGGCCTGCTGCCTCCTTCACCAACACGCACAGACCAGTATGGTCACGGGCTCGTCATTGAACAAAGACGGCCACTGCGTCTCAAGGTTTCGGAGCCGCTTCTGCGGCTGTCTGGAACACTCTTCCTCGCGCTATTAAGAAGCCACTGGAGCTATGCACTTTTCAATTTAGTTTGAAAACTCATTTCTTTAGAAATGCTTTTTGTGTTTAGTTGTCATCCATTGAGCGTGGTTGGCTACGTATGGTGCAAAGGAAGTTCACCATACACGTGTGACTGAAAGGCATGGACAGGCCATAGTCCAACAGTTGATTGGAGGGCTATACATTTTTAAAATTAATGGTCATAAGACTGGATCGCATCACTCATGGTAGATATTTTGGTGCAGTAGAAATGAATTGAAAAAAAATGTTTTTCTTTAAATTACTTTGTTTTAACTTAGTTGATTTGCTATCTGCCTTGATTGGTTATGTTTCGATAATGAGTGCTAATGCAGTGCAAATCTGTTGTACAAATTTCACTGCGAATTTGATGGCAGTGTTGCACACTTCAGTATTTGTCACGAACACTCCCACAATGAAACCTGTTTTCCAGCACAACACCACTGGTGCAGTCAGCTCTTTCATGGACCGTGAGCATTGGGGCTTGTGAAACTGTGTGTGTGTTACATTATAAACGGCACGTTTGTATAGCTGCTAATGCTGCTCACTGAACTTTGGCACAGCACTTAGATTTTTAACCCTTGCAGATGTGTTAGAAGCCGAGTCCAATTGTGATGTGCAGTTTATACCATGCTACTTGTTAAGGACGAGTACTTGCCACGATATTTTGGCCTCTGTTTCACAGCAAATTTAAAGGGTTGCACTCTTTTAACGCCTCTTGACCACATTCCGTTGGCGACCACCGCAAATAAAAACGCATGTTGTCTCCAGCTGCGGGACTACGATGTCAGCAGAGGACAGAATGGTAAAAACCTTGATTGTATGGTACTATGCTCCAACGTCCGTGCTCCCCGCCTTCACAAACTCGCAGTGTGGTGAAGTATGGTCAAATAACCCCTATTGCCCGCACGGTGCGGGGAGACTGTCTTTTAGCGGTGAATTGGGGGGGATTAAATGTCGTTAAGTTAACTGCGTGTTCTATGCATGCCGACATGCATAATTAAAACGTATTATACCGGTGCATGTCAAATCAATTACTATCAATGTTTGGAAAAAAAAAATGCTGAGTGCATTGATATTATATCATTATTTAATAAACACTATGAATGTACGTTATTGCAATGTATACATTACAGAATATACTTTTTACATTTATTACAATACAATGGACATGGGTATTCAGTATATTTATGAGACAGAAAAAAATTATACTTTTGATGTATACATGACGTAGCGTATTAAACCTACCAACTGTATGTAGAGCGTCCACCACTGGCTGAGGGTTGTAAATAGGAATTAATACTGCTTCACCCTCACATTGAACAGGGACAGCACTTTGACATTTGGCTTTTGTGTACGGACTTGAAACATTACTCCACAATATCAATACACAGTACATGTTTAAATAATAAGGCACAGCAGCAGCTGCTACTGGTTAATATTGCAACACGTGACCGGCATGCTCTGCGATGTTTTCGGGTTTGCACCTCGTGTTGTTTGGTGTGATGTCTGACGTTTCGTTGCACATGGCTGGAGGCTTCTTCAGGAAAACCGGCGTCTAAGAGCTCTACAGCACAACCGCGCGATAACCTACGCGGCAGAATTCTATTCGACTCCACGCGCCGCCCTGCCGTGTCGGCCAACGTTTCGTTTCTTGTTTCCAAACCGCTCTGCAGGCGCAGGCCGAGCAGCGGCGGTGGCGGGCGGGGGGCGAGATCGAGTCATGGCCAGCGGCAGGCAAGGCCCCCTCGTCGACAGCTACACCGGCGTCGGCGGCGTTGGCGCGCGGCAGGGCCGCCGAGGAGCTTGGCAAGGGCGGCGTCGTCACCGCAGCAGCAGCGGCCCGCGCCAAGGCACTCCACCCGAGCCGCTCGCTTCCGGATGTGTGCCCCAACGACTCTTCGGTGCCACGTGTGCAAGGTGGCTCACGGCGGTGTCTCGCGTCACGGAAGCGATCCGTTTGTAATCCCCACGCCAGCAATAGAGGCAGCACAAGTAACAGCATCGCGTGAATACACGAGTCGCTAGGTTCTGTGATATTAGGCGCACGTGTGAATGCTGAAGCAATTGAGGATGCTGTAGTTATGGGAAGGCTGGCGGAGCCCACTACTGGTTCCTGGTATGTCTATTCTGCTGCTGCTGTCTGCTGGCTGAGTTGCCCTTAAAAAATAGGTTTTATAGATCAATGGGCTATGCTCGAGTCATAAACTTGTAAAACTTATGACCTTCTGTACATGCCACTTCATATTATACCTGTCACTATGGACTTTGCATGCACGACATTGGAAAACTAAAATATATATTTGCAAACTCAATCGTGAACCTAAATTGTGAAATTTCATAGTTTAGCGAAAATTATGAAGTCGGTTAAGCATATGTTTGAGCAATGATTTATGTTCACCATATTTTATCCAAATGTTACCATCTCATGAGACTGTCACGTAGAGTGAGCATCGCAACCCTTCCTGTTAGAGAATTGTCCACACGCAGTTATCACAGAGCCAAATGTAGTGGAGAACCAAATTCAACCCGATGTTTCTCTGTGTGCAGTCTTCGACGGTGATCGGCTGTTTTACATTCAATTGAGGGCGACTGAAACCTAGATTTGAACGCAGATTCTCAGCTGTGCCAACTCTGCTCTCTCTGACCTCTGAGCCACCGGGGGCGACCACCTCCTTCCCCCCCTCCACCGCTCATTGCTTAATTCGTTCCGCCAACGCCGCCAGATGGGTTGCGGGAGGCCCGGGACGGGCCGAGCGTGGTGACGGACCAGCACAAGTGGACGGTGTACCACTCGAAGGTGAACCTACCGGCGGCGCTCAACGACCCGCGGAGGGCCAAGCGCGAGTCCGACTTCTTCACCAAGACGTGGGGCCTCGAGTTCACCGAGGTGCCTGTCCAGCCGTCGCCCCACCTGCCGGAGGTGACGCGCGAGGACTTTGAGAAGTACCTGAGCAGCACCAGCAAGGTGGGCAAAGCGATGCCCACGGGTCACCACTTATGCATTATGTAATTGGAAAATATACCCTGCCTTTGTGAATATTTAAATGTTTTTTTCAAATATTGTGTTCTTCATTTGTTCTCGATGTCACCCAGGTCTTTAATAATCAAGAGGCATTGCCTTCTCATGTCTCCAGGGGGTTTATTTTTAATCTCCCGCTTGTGTATAGGATACGAACAAACAAACCTCTTTAGTTCATCTGCACAGAACCACAAGGGACTTGAATTTACGGCACATTGTGATGGAGATGGAAGGGTTGAAAAATTGTTTGATGTTTTGCAGGAGATAACTTGTACAGTGTGAACATTTGCAGGGAAGACCGAACAGCGAGAATCTGAATTCTTGTCTATGACCGAACCACCAGAAATGCGCCCTATCTCATCATGTCTCGGAATCTTAATCGGGAGGGAGCCTGGGTAGTGCTTGACATGTGCAGGAATTCAGGATGTAACCTTTTCTATGCTGGCATTTTGTCTCCAAAAAGTATTATTTCTATTCACAGCCTTGTGCATGACAACGGATTAAATGAAGTTGTATTTAACAAGTGGCTTCTTGTGCCCTGAATGTCACGGGCCAGCGCGGTTAACCGTGTGTGTGTGTTCACTCGCAGTGTTACGCAGTCCACCAGAAGTGCCAGGCTACATGTCCGCAGAAGGACGAAGTGGATCGGGTCCTTGATGCTGTCAGTTGCACGCACGGTGAGTGGGCACATGAAGGCCGATTACACATTTATTTTGTGCTTTCGGTTGAATGTCCTTCCATTCGAGTTTTCGAGCAGTTCAGTGCAACCCTTTGTGTTGGAGAATAGCCCTCGCATCCAGTTTGTATTGTCTTGAGTTGATAATTTACTCAAGTTTTGAACCCCCCACTTTATTGCTGAAACTGAAACAAGATTTTTCGGAACATTTTCTTTGGTTGTGGCTGTATTGGTTTTTAAAATTACATACGTAAACTTGACAGTTTATAGAAACGAGTGTTGTTGACATTTTTCATAGAATCCCAAGTGAAGCATTAAGCCTTTCTTATTGTATCTTCAACAGGCAAACAGCAAAGTGATCTGGAACAAGTGCCTAAAGTAAGTTAAACAATAATTGCCATAAACTCAACAGCGCATTACACATTGATAGTATAGGTCAAGGGTGGCCAACCTGAAACAGACCAAGAGGCAAAAAGTACCGAGAAGTTCTGCATAGAGCCAAGTGTCTAGATATGTAGACAGTTTTCAGCACGGCATGGGAGACATTCCTTATTCTTTGCTACGACTGAGATGGTGCATTCGACGTTACGCCCCTTCGATCGAGCCACATGCGGTGTATTAAAGAGCCGCATCCGGCTCGGAAGACGCCAGTTGGCCACCGCTGGTATTATAGGTCATGCGACGCCACAACATCCATCAGATTTCATGGTTTAGATTATATTCTTAAATTACATGTATATTATTATGTAAAGGAGTAGACAGAAATGATCGAGAACACGCGAGTATAAGTACAACAGTTGAGACGAAGGCGCCTATAGAAAGCTCTCATCTAGCATGAAGTTGACAAAGGGCTGTACATGTGCATGAATAGACCGAAGATGCTTTAGAAGATAACACACACGTGAAACATATGCATGCTTCATGTATACAAGTTGTTATCCTTGAGTCTGTTAAAGTTACACAGACCTCAACAACACACAATACAAGATGATTCTTTAAACCTTATGACATTTGAAAATGAGTGAACTGAGTTTATAACTAACTGTTGAGTTTGGAAAGCCATTCCATGGCATTTAGGGTCGCGAGGTAGATTTAATTTGTACCTTCTGCAAAAGTGTGTGGTGGGCAATTATCAGTGATGGATTACACTTCACTCGCACAGAGACCCATATGCTCATAAATAGCCATGCTGCGCGACACAATGTTACTGCGAGTGATGGATTGCACTTAACCACGGACACATTTATGTGACTCCTTAATTCTCCGCTTATGAAGGAGGTGGTCGTACCACCCATGTGTCGCTCTAACCCGGTTATGTGAGGTCCAGGTGCCTGCGAGACAGAGAAGCCAGGTAGTTCTTCCCCTTTATCTTTAATTTGTGTCCCTGTTCGAGACATCGCAGGCAGACCACATAGCTCACCACCAGACGATGAGTGGCTCTCGCGGCCGACTCAGGCATCTTGACATGGCTCCGCGATCCAAGGCAATTTATACTTGCGTAGAGGAGTGGAGTGCTGACGTCAGATCACACTCGCCTCGGGGGGGAATGCCATCAAGGAAAAGTGACGTCATGCCACCCGGGGTATTTGAGGGGAGACCCGTGATGTAGACGGGGTCTTCGCCGTGAGCCAGAGGAGAGTGAGTGTTAAGGGAGTAGGGGGCTCCGGGATAGAGGGTTGAGAGCCAGGCGAAAGGGCTGCTTTACCCGGCTGGCCGAGTTGGCTGAACCCTCGGTCAGTGCTGTGGGAAGAGCCTGATAGCCTGGTGGGGTGTAGGGAACTCCCAGTACCCTTCCCCTGGGGAGATTAGTTAATAACTCTGTGTTAACCTCTTCCCCCGAGTTAGGCGCAAGCCCTTAAATAAACAATTTGGCGTCAGCCCCAACACGACTGGCTTCAGCGTCCTTCTTACTACACAACACTTGTACTGGTTTTATATGGGGGGGGGGGGGGTCAGCGTTCAAAGGTGCATCCTTAAACGACGCGGACATTGGTGTTCCCGTCCTTCAGATGTTTCTGAAGCCAGACTTTGCCCTGGAGGATCCGGCCACGTTCAACACGGTGCTGCCCTGGTCACAGTTTGGCGGCGCGCAGAAGCGCGTGGGCGCCAGGAACGCCCCAGCGGTGCCCGACGGATTCTCTTCGCGCCTCCTGCAGGAGAAGGTGCGCGCCGCCACGAATTAATCTCTCGCGCTACAACAGAGAGTTGCGGGTCGATCGCAGTATGCGAGGTGTCTGTGAAAGTATCGTCCGTCATTAAGGATTGGAATTTAAAACAGTTTTCGCCTTTGATCAAATCACCCAGAATCTGCCCGGTCTTGTCAGACCTTAGAAGATAAGCAAGTTTTAACTTTGATAGTGTCTGGATGGATAGCCGCCGTGGATAGACAAGCCATTATAGGCTGCCGCGGGGCATTCATTAACCATGTTAATCGATGTGTTTATATTGTTGTTAGTAACTTAATGTATTTATATCCATTGTTAATTGTTAAAATATTATAAAGTACGTTTTTTGGGTGTAAAAGGGTAACTTTCGATGCTATCGGAACGAAATAAGCCTTTAACATGCATTTCATATACTTCGCTTAATGGCCAAATAATTTAGCAACCGATTTTGTGGAACCAGTTTACCGTCGTTAAGAGGGGTTCTACTGTATTTTACTCTGCTGCAATGTCTGTGTTCTCTGCCTTCACCAAATCCGCACTAACGAGCATGGTGAAGTCCGGCACAATAACTCGCACGACTCGCTCGGCATGGAGAGGTCCTCACCCGGCAGCGGGTTATGGCCTCGCCAAAAGAAACCCAATTGTGAAACGTGGAATTAATTTGTCCGTAACTTCCGCTCTCCTCTCACACCTCCTCCCCCTGCCCTGCTCCAACGCAGCTGAGCCACTACCTGGACGTGGTGGAGGTGAACCTGGCGCGGCAGATCTCGCTTCGCTCCGACGCCTTCTTCCAGGCAATGGAGTCCCAGCGCGACGTGCAGGAGCACCTGCGGCGAGCGGCGCTCACAGGTGCGCTCGCTGCGCTCCCTTGTGGGCCGCGTGGACACGGTGCTGGCGAGCGGCTCGCTGCGGGTGCTGCGCCTCGCGACGGCGCGACGCAACGCCGCGTTGCTGCACGGCAAGCTGAAGCTGATGGCGGCCGTGCAGCAGACGCAGCCCACCGTGCAGCTGCTGCTGTCAACGGCCGAGTACAGCGGCGCCCTCGACCTCATCGCCACCACGCAGGAGGTGCTGCAGCAGGAGCTGCAGGGGGTGCACAGCTTCCGGTGAGACGGACCCGCGCTGTGCGCACGCAGACAGCGTCCCTTATACAGCGTCCCTTATACAGTAACTGCTGTATGAGGACACTGCATTACGGACGAGTTGGGTCCCAGAGGTCTGTTCGTTAAGTCATTTTGCTCGTAAGTCTAACTTTACTCCTGTCGATTCCAAACATGTTGTACGGCATGTACACTAAACACGGGGAATGGCTTTAAAGGTTGTATACAGTAATTTCCTATGGATGTAGATGCCACTGGTTCTTCATGTTCTGCAGGTGTAGATGCCACTACTGCCATCTATTGCGTGGCAGTTGAACTTATGACTCTTGGTCTGAACAGGCAACTGGACATACGGACAAGTTTGTTCATATATCTGAAAGTTCGTAAGTAGAATGTTCGTAAGTAGAAGAGTCCCTGTGGTGAAATGGGCTTCTACTCGAGTGGTAAACTTTTTAAACGTCTCAACTTCTGTAAATACTACTTTATATTATAAACTATGAACTATTTATTATTTCACCAGGTAAGGCACACTGAGCTATATCGCTCCTTTATCAGAAGAGACCTGGCCACAAACGATAGCCCAATACAGTGGCTTATCATGCGAAAATGTTATAGCAGCCATATAATCTTAAACGCATGTTTTTAAATGTAGAGGGAAAAATCGGAGGACCCAGAGAAAAATCCACACGCCCACGGGGAGAGAGAGAGACATGCACATTGAAAATATACAGCATGTGTCAGGATCGAACCCACAACCTCGTGTATACCCGGCGAGGGAGTTAACATTTCGTCACCGCCGTGCCCCTTGACCTGCCACTTTGGACTTTGCGTGCACCACATTGCGATGCTAAAATATTTATTTTTCATGAATCTGAATTGAGAAAGTTCATTATTTTGCAAAAGGAATCAACGGTCGGGTAAGGTATTTGTTTAATCAATGATGAATGTTCTCCAAATTTTATCCAAATATTGCCATGTCATGAGTGTGTCAAGTAGAGGTGAGCATTGCAACCCTTTCTGTTCAAGAATTGTCCACACACGCACAGCTATCACAGAGCCATTCCGGAATGAAGGCCTTCCTGCACCAATGCTATTCTCTCTGCAGTGTGCTACGCTCTCTTTGTGTACATGTTTTGCGCGCGATCGGCCATGCAGACCCGAGTGCCAAATGCGACCAATGACGTGCGTACGCAGGCACCTCGGCTCCCAGCTGTGCGAGCTGGAAAAGCTCATCGACAAGATGATGGTGGAGGAGATCTGCAGGTATGCCGAGGTGGACCTCAACAGGACCCTACAGGAAGGGGAGGCCGTGCTGGAGGAGGTGTGTGTGGTTTCCCTTTTCGCCCCGGTGATTGATCATCGCTCTCTTAATGTTTCTACATTAGAAGCTTTCGTGACTGCAAGGATTCAAACTCTTAGTTCTTTCGGTAAAGTCACGTAGGTAAAAAATGAAATTAAAATTAATAAAAATAAAACAATAAAATCACGACGTTTCGGAGGCAACACAAGTCTCCGTCCTCAGCAAATCTGGCTGTGACGGTCCCACCTGATGACGGAGACTTGTGTTGCCTCCGGTAACGTCGTGATTTTATTGTTATATTTTTATTAATTTTAATTTCATTTTTTACCTACGTGACTTTACCGGAAGAACTAAGAGTATGGATCTCTTAATGTTCCCATGGGGGGGGGGGGGGGGGTGTGCGTGGCGCGGAGGAGGGGAAGTATCTTGACGTGACGCACGGATAATTTACCTTTTAGAACTCTCGCTGCTGTTAGTACACAGCCGTGTGTGTCGGTGAAAATCCTAGAGAGCAGACTTATGTACGTATGTATGTTTAACTTCTTTCGCACCATCTTCTTGGTTCTTTCGGTAAAGTCACGTAGAAGGGAAGTAATAAAATAATAAAAATAAAACATAATAAAACAATTCTCACGACGTTTCGGCCACAACGCAAGCAGCCGTCCTGAGGACGGCTGCTTGCGTTGTGGCCGAAACGTCGTCCTGAGGACGGCTGCTTGCGTTGTGGCCGAAACGTCGTGAGAATTGTTTTATTATGTTTTATTTTTATTATTCTATTACTTCCCTTCTACGTGACTTTACCGAAAGAACCAAGAAGATGAATCCCTGCAGTCACGAAAGCTTTAAATCGAAATTCTTTCGCACCGTACGTAGGCAAGGGTCCTTGCTACTGATATAGTCCTAGCTACTTCAACAACCCGCACTGACCAGCTTGGTGAAGTATGGTCAATACACGTCCACGAACTAACACGATGTAGGGATTGAGCAGTGGAGGGCTGTAAATTATTACTCTATATTGAAATTATCTCGACTTCAGTAATTAATTAATTCTAGTGCACGCGTGTCTAATTGAACGTTGGCTGATTTTGATGGATTATAGGTGTGAAGTATTATTGTAAAATGTGTGCGTTCCTCTGTGGAGTAAACTGCCAGCTGTTCCAAGGCATGACAATGTTTTTGGAAATGATGATTGATTAGATTGATTATTGCAGTAAATATTAGTTACTTATACCGTGGTGAGCAGTGCAGCAAATGACGATGATGGCTGGTGAATAGATGTCGAATTTTATTATTTACATTTATGATGTCAGCAGTATTATACATGGATTAATGACGACGGCGATGATGATTGAACGATAATACGACGATGATTTTATTGTGGTGAGCAGAATGGAGAAATATGATGATGATGTTTGTATGTTGAACATCTTTTGCATGTATGTAGCCAACCGTGCTCATCGCAGGTGCGAGACATGTACTATGTCCTGCAAGGAGCATTCGTTGCATGACTAATTTAACATACATTTTTGATTTTCAGAGGCAATATGCATGAATCGAGTGGAAAACTCAAGTTTTTGGCAGTGGCCGTTAAAAGCAGAGGGATAGAGAACATTGGATATTTATATCTGTGCTTGTTCACTGGCATTGCAGTTCATATTTTCAAATGGAATATAGAAACTAAACATTCGTATACAAGCACTGTAGTTATGTTTTAAACTTGCATGGAATGCTATTTTAACAGGTTACTGTAATGGACAAAACTGTGAATATCCTAAACAAAAACACGCAAAACATTTTTTAAATAATTACGGTAAAAAACTATAAAATGTGCACGGAATTATTCCAAATTGCCAACTTTTGTACCATAACGCCAGCACATACACCGGCCTACCCCTTTTTCGAATCGTGCTACGGGACCTTTGAAGTCCACCGTAAAAGAAGTCGGCACTGCAATTTTGCGATTTAATACGCCTCCAGTATTGAACAAGGGCTGACTGCCCCAGGTCTTAACCGCAAAACCTCTGACACGAGCGGCGAACGCGCTGCCTGCTCGAGGCACGTGCGCTCGCTCGCTCTCTTTCTCTCGTGCGTGTCCCAGAATGCACGGCGTGTGGTCTTGTGTACAGGAGCGGCTGGTGTCCCTCGTGTTTGGGTTGCTGCGTCAGCGGAGGTTGGACTTCCTGGACATGTACAATGACCGCATCGTCATGGCCGTGAGGAACATCGTCAAGCAGGTTCGTGGCGTGGCGTCACATGCTATCGTTGCCACGTGGCGTGGCGTCACATGCTATCGTTGCCACGTGGCGTGGCGTCACGCTATCGTCGGCACGCTGTGATGCACCCCAGCTATTCAATGAACTGTCACGATTCAGGGGCTTTCCCAAGGCATTGTTGAGGCTACTGTCAGCAGTGTGGTAATGCTTTCATATGATTTGTGTTTTTTCCCTACTGTTTACAATCCATGTGGTGCTTGTATTTTGTCTAGTTTTTGACCGTAATTGTTTAAAAACTAATTTGCGTGTTTTTGTTGAGGATGTTCACAGTTTTGTCCATTACAGTAACATCGCGTAACAGATAATCAACTGAATATCGTGGGCATAATTATAAATAATCGATTCTTGCACAACATTCGATGCGTATATTGTAAGCGTCATAAGCCATTTTAGTCAATGAAACGATGCGGTATTACATCCTGATCGGCGCTGTGTTTATAACATTTACCAAACGCCTCTGCTTAGTTTGGAAAATGGATATATTTAATGCGCATATTAGGTGGAGTAACATAAGTATTGTTGTCGTCTACATTTCAAAGGAGAGGCAATATCTTGTTGAAATAAGCAGCGCTTGTAATAAGGATATATGGAAGTTAATTTTGCTCGAACATGCGGTTACATTCCACTACTTTTCCACATGGTGGCGACAGCTCTCTGTCTGGCTGCCGAACCAGCTGCTTCACATGAGCAGCGTGAAGGCATGATTAGTTTGAGAAAAAAGGTATGTACAAGGTCAAATTGAAAATAACGATCTTTCTTGTTCTGCACAGACTGTGATGGAAGCAATTTCTCAAGTTGATGAAATTGACACTGAAATCGTGACAAAGTAAGGACATTTCATCTGCGCCTTCTTGGTACTTACATTAGGAACTCAATGCATTTATTAAACGCAGTCGTGATTGATGTTTTAATATTCTTGGTTCTTTCGGTAAAGTCACGTAGAAGGGAAATAATAAAATAATAAAAATATAACAATTACATTCTCACGACGTTTCGATTGCAACACAAGCAATCATCAGGTGTGAAAACCACAGCAAGAAAATTTGAAAAAGTTGCAATCGAAACGTCGTGAGAATTTAATTGTTTTATTTTTATTATTTTATTATTTCCCTTCTACGTGACTTTACCGAAAGAACCAAGAATATGAATCCCTGCAGTCACGAAAGCTTCAAATTGATGTTTTAATGTTAATCCTGTCGCCTGTTCATCCCATTGTTGTTTGTCTTTAGGCTGGCAGATCAAATACGGTTGATGATCTTTCCTCTCTGGCTCGAACTCCTCCAGAAGGTCTTCTCGAACCTTCTCGTATTTCTACGTCGGGTGAAGGTATGTCTTGCGACATGATTATACTGGTAGGAACCTCCTGGTTACACCAGCCCACAGGGGATTATTGTGTCCGTCCGTCGTGCAGGGAGGGGCTGGCTGGGTGGGGAGGGGTTGGGTGAGGAGGGTGGGGCTGGGTGGGGCATGGGAGGTGTGGGGCTGGGTGGGGAGGGACTGGTCACCCTGTGGTGCCCTTATAAACTCAGCGTTTAAACTACTCACGCCGGCTTGTGCCCGCCCTCACAGTCGGGCATATTTGCGGAATACACCATGCTGCCATTGACCCTGGCCATTGACCGAGCAACCCAACGTTCCTACCAGCTCCCTCCGAAGGAATGTGTTAGGCGCTTTATGTAATCCCAACCTCTTGGGAGTAAGACCAGCTGTCCTTATGTAAGAAGTGTGTTTGTATCAGAAGTTACTCTGTGTCGCCCCCAATCGGTGTAATGTAAGAATGTGTTACTTATATGAGAACTGACTGGAAGAATGTACTCAAGCGATTAGAACCAATATTATTTATTTATTTCAAGGCAACCATGGTGGTGTGATGTTATCTTCCTTGCCTGGTTATATCCCGACCCTGAAGCCTCTATATTTGTATTTTGCGTGTCCCTTTCACCCGTATTCATGTGGATTTTTTTCTGTGGGTCCCATGGGTTTTCCCTCCACATTTAGAAACAGGCATTTAGATTATTTTGCTACGATCAATCTCACGTGATCATCCACTTTATTGAGCTATGCTTTGTGGCGAGGTTGCTTCTGAAAAATAAGATAATAGCTCATTGGGCTTTACCTGGTAAGATAAACATTGTTTAGTTTTATTTGTATATTTTTTAAAGTGATTTGCTTATTTTTCCTATACTTTACACTCCTATCGTGTTTTCGTATTGTGTGTTGTAACGTTCTGACCCGACCCGTACTGGACATCTACGAAAAAGACCTTTATAGCTCATCCAGATTCCTCCAGTATAAATAAACATTCCGATTCTGATTGATTACGCGAACGGTGCCGTCTCGATGGAAATGCAATGTTCGTTTTGGCGCGCGGGGCGCGTGCTGTCGTGCCCGCAGGCAACGCTGGGCGTGATGCGGGACGTGGTGCACATGGCGCTGGAGCGCGCTTACGAGAGGGCCCGCGAGCTGGAGGAGAGGACGCGGCCTCCTCCCCGCGGTCCATCGCAGCGCAGCCACAACGCCGCCGAACGCTCGGACCTCCCCGTGCTGGAATGCAGGCCGGGCGGCGAGCTCCCCAATGTTGGCCAGCAGGAGGTTCGGACATGTTAAAATAAAATAAAAATCCCTAAATATTGTCTCCCTACTCCCTCCTGGCCTTGGCTCCCCCCACCCCACTGCCGACTCCGCTCGGCCTAAAACGAGTGTCTAACGTTGCATGTCATCTGCAGCAGTGGGGGTGGTAAAGGCCGCGAGGTCTGCTGCCAGCTTCACTGCTTGCCCCTCTCGCATGCAAGGGAGGACCACAATAATAATAAGAGTGAGTGCTCTCAATGCCAAACGGGCTTTGTCTCGATCGTGCGTCAGGACGCTGCTGGCGGAGGTGACACGCCGTCGAGTGGCTCTGCGTCCGACACCGAGCAGACGACGGACTCCTCGGCCAGCTGTGACAAGGCCTTGGCTTCCTCGAAGGCTCACGAGGGCCTTCAGCTGCAGCTGTGAGTTTCGGACGCAGCTGCATGCTTCGCGACCGCCCGTAATGCGCTTGTGCCAATGTTGTGATTGTCCGGCTCTCTGCTTGCGAGTGTCTCTGGCTCCGTGCCGTATGTTTTCTACCATCTGTATGAGTTTTACGCTTTTTTTTTTTTTAAGACTTAACGTGTGCATTTTATTCAACCCATCACCTAACGCGTGCATCTAAATAGTATGAGAGCTCAGTGTGGGTGGTCGCTCAATATTCTCTGCTGCCCCAAAATTTGTAGCTCCATTTCCTTTTAACCTCTGCCTGTGTTCGAATGCCTCTGTTAAAAAAATTATACGACCACTGTTTCCCTTCGCTGCATATTGCCGGCTATTGCATGAATCGGAAAACAGTGGAAACTGACAAAGAAAACGCAACTCGAGCTAAAAGATTGTCCAGACAATCACGGAGAGACGCGCGCTTGGATGTAAAGACCAAGAAAAAGAGAGAGGAACGCGTTCCGTGTTATCACGGTGCACGCTCCACCTCGTACGAAAAGTGTTCCCGAGTGGAAGAACCGCGTTATAGCGAATAAACGCATTGCAGTGTGAACATCACGCTTTAAGCGAGGTCTTGGCTTCCCTTTATACCGCCAAGTCTGTTCTCCCTGGAGTTGGCCTCAACTGGCAGTGTTGACACACGGGCTGTACGACGTGTCAATTGAAGACGCGCGTGGCAATGTGTTTTTACGGTGTGCGTGTGTGCGTGCGTGGCGCTCGCCTCTCGTGCATTTGCGCCCAGTTTGGGGGAGGAGCTGCGACTCAGCGTGCTGGAGTTGGAGCGAGTGTCCAGCAGCGTCCAGGAGCTGCTGCACAGCACCTCGGACTGCTGCCACGACCGCTGCGTCAAGTTCATCATGGCCAGGGCACGCGTAAGTGGAGCTTCATTTTTGCAAGAATAAATGGCGAAAAAAACGCGTTCAGCCGGTTTTTTTCCTGCACATATAGAAACGTCTCGTAACAATGTATATTTACGATTTTCAGATTCTTTATTTAGACTGGAGGGAGGAATCCGATGAGCTATGAAGCTCTTTTTCACAGATGTCCAGAATGGGTGGGTCGGCAAGTTACTACAACAAACAATAAAAAAAACGATAGTTCAAAATAGAGACAATGATAAGCAAATAACAAAAAATAAATCCGTGTTTTATTTAAGTCCCAATTATCAAGCTTGGGCCAGGCAAGCAAAAACAACAGAACAGACCACACCAAGATAACACCACACAGCAGTAGTCCCTCAATAAAATGTCACATTAACATTGAACTATCGATACACGGGTAGTGATCAAAGTCACAAATCACATTTGGAAACGCGACTGCCGCATCCAGCCCGAACCGAGCATCGAAGGGAGCTGCCGCAGTGTAACGGTTAGCACAGCGGACTTGCAGAATCAGGGGCCGCTGGTTCAATTCAATCTCCTGGAGCAGCAGTTGAAGGAATGGGGTCTCGTTAAATTCCACCCCCCCCCCTGTCCGCCCAGCAGTAGAGATAGCTACACCATGGTTAGTCAATCGGCAGATCGCGTGCACCTCACCCCTCCACGACACCATTTCACGCGACGTCATTTTATTGTCCTGCGTTTAAACCGTGCACCGTCGCTAATAAAATCCTTTTGACGGAAAATAGCGCGTTGGAAAATCCACGCCTTGCGCTTCCATTGTTCTTCCTCAATTTTAATGCGGTGGTTTGTGGTGGTTGTCAGCAGGACGGATCGCTCGAGAGGCTGAGCCCCGCGGAGTTCGTGGCCCTCTCGCAGGCCGTGGAGGGGTTCGTGGCCGTATCGGAGGAGATCTCGGGCCGCAAGAGCACCTCACTGCGGGGGGCGCTTGCAGAGCCAGGCGAGCCGCTTCGTGCAGCGCTTCCACGAGGAGCGGAGAACAAAATTGAGGTGCGCGCACACCGATGAGCGTGGCTGGTTCACCGTCGCCACCACTACCACCACCACGACGACGACCATTGCCTTGACCAGCACCACCAGGAACGATATCACCGGTACCAGCAACTCGAGTACCAGCGACATTGCCATCATCGCCTTGATCATCACGTGCCGCTACCAGCACCGTCATATCCTACAGCATCTATCTACTCTCCAAACAATTTTTTTGGAGCCTCAAAGATGTCAAATGTCTCACCCACCAACCACGCCTCGGGCATGAACTATCATGCCCATCAACAACAAAAAAGTTTTGTTTGTAAAATAAATATTTCTAGGTGGTGCGTCGATGTCCATCTGTGAGTGATTTTAATCCGCCTGCCATTGTCGCGCGGAGCAGCTTGCTGCTCGATAACGAGCGATGGAAGCAGGCGGAAGTCCCCGCGGAGTTTCAGCAGCTCGTCGACTCGATGGCCGGAGGAGTGATCGCGTTGTCGGAGAGAAAGCCCGCAGGTACCCAAGGCCGGTCTTTGACACGGCCCAAAACCTATACGGCCTTCACTGGTCACCTGGGTATTCCAGACTAAGAAAATACATATTCATTTTAAGGCAGACGTGTTATTGACGGCTGGTGATTTTGTTGTTGTTGTGTTTGTGTACCACTGCCAACGCAGCATCAGCGTATAATTTACATGGAACAATTTTTTTTCGCGCGTGACAGCATCACAAAACAAGAAGCTGGCTGACTACCTCTTTGTGGACGGGCAGAAGTACACGGTGGTTAGGTGAGTGTTCCCCACACACTCTGATCTGCGTGGCCGGATTCTGTAGTTTAACAAATAATAATAGTAGTCCACTCTCGACGCTTGCATGCCCTTCTGCTGCTGCGGGTGTTATACTATCGAGCGTTTTTATTATTGCCATGTCGTCAGTAACCACTATCGTATTAATAATTAACGAATTATTTTGTACATTTGCTATTCATGCCGTTCTTATAGCGCAAGGCCATCACTAAGGCAATACGTTTGGCACAGACGTAGTCTGCGGTTGTTTAACAGTAGGGGTGATGCTGCAGTGTGTAATCACAATTGACTACTGTGCAGGTTATTTTTCAAATGTGGAACATTTGGATCCTGATGCCAGCAATAAAAGGCCGGCTCATGTCAGATGAATTCAGGAGAACTTTGACGTTCTATGCGAAACAGACAGTGCGTATATTTCACAGTTAATGCACTCCAGTAATAACCAGGGTCGCCTGCCGGACTCAAACTGCGAACATCCCAAACGAGCTGCGAACGTGCTAACGCTGGCCCATGTCACTACACCATAAGTCTTTATGCAATCCGTCACTAAGGCCCAATGCCCCTGGATTGTGGTGTTTGCGCAGGGTATTGTCTTTGTGTGCGCATGCACGCATAACGCGTTCGCGCGTGTGTTGCGATTGTGTGGATGCAGCACCGTGCTGCTGTTGATCCGCATGGTGCTGGAGTACTGCCAGTGTGTGGAGGATATCCCGTCCGTCACCACGGACATGCTGCCCAGGCTCACAGACCTCCTGAAGGTGTGTGAGGCAGTCGCGTCGGGCACTGTTGACGATGCTCTGTTGTAATTTTTGCTCTTTTTTTCGTCACCCGCTGCCGCGCAGCATCTGGGAATTTCATCGCATTAGTTTAGTCACTCGTTTATTTCATTGAATCGGGTGTGAGAGCCCAGGACAATGCAAATTCATCTAATATTTGACGTTAGTTTCTAGCCATAGTAATCATCATCATCGCCATTGGCAAACACTCCTGATGGGTTCATATTGTTTGTTTTTTTCGGTAAAGTCACGTAGATAAATAATTAATAAAATAAAATAATGAAAACAACTAAATTAAATCACGACGTTTCGGAGGCAACACAAGCCTCCCTCATCAGGTGTAAAAAGGCACAGCAAAATAACTGTTATTATAATAACACAGTTATTTAATTGTTTTGCCTATGCGACTTTACCAAAAAAAATCAATGAGTATGAATACTTGCAGTCACGAAAGCTTCAAATCTAGAACTACTGATGGGTGTCGTCAAATAAACTCTGTTGCAAAAGACAACCGGAAGCCATCTCTGGTATCCTCGCCTTGTTACGGCCTAAATACTCTGATACGCAGTGGGAGTTGTGAGATGTAAAAGGGATGGATGCTGTGGGAATGGGATGGAGGGGTGCTTGAGTCGGGGGATCTGCCTTAGGGCAACTCGGGACAGATAACTCAAAAAGGAACATCGTGGTGTAGGCATGACGTCTCTGTGTGTTCTGAAAGCCCTGATGACCAATGTCTATTTGCTTATTCCCATTGTCGGCATATGAAGCACTTCAACTCTCGCAGCTTGTCAGCTCGTGCTGGGCGCTGGGGCCTTGCAGGTGGTCGGCTTGAAGACCATCACCACCAAAAACCTCGGTGAGATTTCCCAGTTCGCGGCTCTGAGTTGTACTCTGTACGGCACTGAATGTGAGTAAATGCTGAAAGTAATACTGGACGATTACCGTGATTCATATCACGCAATTGCTATGAAATCCTCAGGATGGATTCATGTTCGTAAAAGGGTTGTTGGATACTTATTATTGTGCAATTTTGTAGTATATTGTATGTGGGACTGCTAAAGTGTGTGCCCACCTGTTCACGGATCCATGGAGTCGTGAATGGAATGACATTCATTTGAACGGAGATCCAGAATTTCATAGAATCTCACATTTTCATTGCATTTTCTGGACCACCATGCATATATGAATGGGAATGTAGCAGCGATTCCAAAGATGGCCCTTAGATGGCAGGCTAACCTTGCTGGAATCACATTCGAGCAAATGTAGGCTAACATGGGCACCGCAGTAATAGCGATTCCTGTAAGATTGCCCATGGATGAAAGTTCAAGTACGATTCCTATCCCCCCCCTCTTCTCCCTTTTCTTCCTTCCCCTCTCCCCCTATCCTTGGTCTTCCCTTAGTATCGATAATTGAGGTTTTTCGGGTTATATCGCGTAAATATAAATGTTGATTTAAAGCGTTCGTGACTGCAGGGATTCGTATTCAATAAAATAATAAAATTATAAGTTTCCCTTCTACGTAATATAAATGTGTCGTTAAACCCCCCGCCACCCGACACAGCCAAATTAGTAAGGGTTTACACCATTGGAACCTCATTTGCCAGAAGAAAAAATATGATAATTGTTTTTTTACCCTTTTTTTCTGGCAACAAAACTGATACCTTTTTTTGCATAGACCACAATACCTGCAGTCATAATGCAAACAAAAAACATAACTCTGATAATGTATGCACGGTCCTTGAAGTTGATTGGTCCACACCCGAGACAGCTTTCAGGTCTCTGCAAACATGACTCCTTGTAAAAAAAAGGTGTCAGTTTTGTTGCCAGATAAAAGGGTAAAAAACAATTATCTTAGTAAGGGTTGTCACATAAACAAAATGTGCCAATTCATCACTGATTCGGCACACCACTTATGTGTTGGAGAATAAGCCCAGAACACAAAACATTTGCTTGCGAAAGCCTACGTGTTAAACATTCCCTTGGCATGTTGGTTATTTCTCCCTCCCCCTCTTCCCCCCCATATAGATTTCCACCCCCCCCCTCCTCTACATGGGGTCCCGACTTGGTTGATGCAGTAGACCCAGTGCCCTCTCCCCCACCTATAGTCCCCGTCGTGCCAAATTAGAATTTTCGCGGATTTTCCGTTCTCCCCTCCTTATGGTCACCGGCGCGTTGTGCCGCGCGAGAGTTTTGTTGCAGTAAAAAAAAATTACGATTCGTCTCGGGATCGCCCATCACTAGCTGCTGTGCTGCTCAACGCCTGCTGCGTCTTCTCTTGCCGTGTGTCCAGCGCTGGCATCGCGCTGCCTGCAGCTCATCCTGCAGTACATCCCGCTCATCCGCGCACACTTCGAGGCCCGCCTCCAGCCCAAGCAGTACAACATGCTGCGACACTTTGACCACATGACCAAGGTAAGTGAGGGGGCGGGGGGGCGGTGGGGGGTGGAGGGGCAATGTTTTGAGCAATGAGACCTGAGTCACGACATGCACATCTTCTAGATTTGAAGCTTTCGTGACTGCAAGGATTCATACTCTTAGGTTTTTTTCGGTAAAGTCACATACAGTAAATCTAGCTGTGACGGTCCCACCTGATGACGGAGACTTGTGTTGCCTCCGAAACGTCGTGATTTATAATTTTATTTCTATTATTATTCCTATTATATTTTTATTATTTATTTTTACCTACGTGACTTTACCAAAAAAACCTAAGAGTATGCACATCTTCCTTCAATAGGTTGCGTGCGTCGCCGGAAATTTGACAGCACGCGCAAACATTGCGGTCATTGCGTTGTCGCCTTTCGCGTGACGACACTACGTCCAGCGAGATGTCCGCTGTCCATAAATTACCGTTTGACAACTTGGCAGTTGATGTATGTTGAACTTCTTTCGCTCCGTACGTAACCAACCGTGCCAATCGGGAGGTGCTTCATATAGGGTTACTTTGTTCTTCAGAACCTGAATGATACTACTTCGTTGCCTCCTTGCTCAGATTAATTTGAACTTTTTTTTGGTCTCATTTACAAACCTTCAAACTCTTGTTGCGACAGCCCAGGAGACCAAGGTACTATCGATTTGTTATTTGGGTTCTTGCAGTCCTTGAGGACGACTTGTGTGCTTGATGCAAGCACAATGCCACACACACCACTGACTACGCACTCTTTATTCCCATGTCCCATTGTTTTTGCCTCAGGATTACAGCGACCACATAGGGGAGATTTCCGCCAAATTGGTCGCGATAATGGACAGCATGTGCGAGAAGCTGCTATTCAGAGTGAGTTTTGTTTTAATTCACAGCCACGCATCCGTCGATCTCAGGTTATCAATTTTCTTTTCTTCTTTGTCCAAAGAGTCGTTTTTCAACTGCACCTCGAATAAGCCAATGTGTTAACAGCGCCACGTGGATGCCAATACATTGCAGGTTCTATTGAGCAGCAGATGAAAGTGCGCTGAATTCCAGCGTGGTCCGTTTAAAAAAAAAATGAAAATCCATGTCCAAGTAGATATTATCAACTCGGTTGCCTTCACAGACTGACCTTCAGTCCTTCCCATGCTGCGGAGTACATCGAATGACAGTGTTGCCACATTTTCCAGTCTTCAATCAGCTGAGCCACCTTGTCCAATGTTATTAAAAATTACCTTTCAATAGTTAATGATCGTCTCTTCAGTTTGTTGGCCGTTCCACTTTTAAAAAATGTGTTTTTCTTTTCTTTATGATGAACCTGGGCACTGTTATTGTTCGACCAAACATGTGAAAGGATCCATTGCAGAGTGCTGACGTAGCCACCAGTTTAGCCACGCAACTCGCGCTCGTACAATGAATGGTTTCCGCTCTGCCCAGAGTAGCGGATTAAACGTTAAGCACCCTCGGCTCGAAACACAATAATTCACCTGGCGAAGGAGTACCGCATAAGTGAATTATTTATTTGCTATCTCGGCGCCCGCGTGGCTTTTTTGACGAGCTTTGGGAATCGCACGCCGCTTCACTCTTCGCCGATTTCGCCCCGTCGTTTTTTTCCCTGCTTGCGTGCGTGCGTGCGTGCGTGCTTGCGTGCGTGCTTGCGTGCGCGCGCAGTACGAGGTAAAGGCGCCCGTGCCGTCGGCGTGCTTCCGCAACGTGAGCAAGCAGATGGCCAAGATGCACGAGGCCGTGTGTGAGCTGCTGCCAAACGAGCAGGTGCAGGTGAGTCGTCGGCACCGCCGTTGCTGTCGGTGTCTCCGCGCGGGTCGCCAAAAAAGTGTCCGCAGGTGGTGCGTGTTAAGATTTTCCCAGTGGAACTTTCCTTGCATCCTTCGACGTGGCACCGGTGGCACTAATTTGAATATAATTTGGGAGGAAAAAGGTCCCATCGTTCATTTGAAACATGTATGTATATTGAACCTCTTTTGCACCGTACGTAGGCAACTTCGGTGGTGCGGGGTGAGGGCAACAAACTAAACACAAAAAGCAGCTCAAAAGAAATGAGTTTCCAATCTCGATTTAGAAACATCAGCACCGCGCGTGTTGTGTATTGTCTCTGAGCTGATTATTTATCGCACGCATGGCTGTCCGGCTCCCGTACAGTTTGAACGCCCCTTCTGTTTTCTCTCGGCCCCTGTCCTGTTCCCGGCCGCAACCAGTTGCTCTTCCTGCGGATCAACGCCTGCTTCAAACAGCACCTCAAGGGGCAGCTGTCCCGTCTCGGCGTCGTGAGCGACGGGGGACCGCAGCACGGGTGGGTTCTCGCGCGTGCGCACCCCCCACCACAGAATCGAAATCGACAGTCGATGAGTCGACGATTGTATGGCGAAGCTCCGTTGGCAGCCACTGCACAAAGCACAAATGACAAACGCTCGTCAACAACGCCGCCCTTAAACGGAAAGGCAACATTGCAGGCAATGTCCCCATCTTCATAGCACTTATATAACCATGTGTGCTAGATAATCTAATTTGCTGTCGAGAAGGGACATTGCCTGCACCGTCACCGATCACATATTTTTGCCTTTGAAGGCGTTGTTGTTGATAAATGTACAGAGAGTACCTGGTCAGTATCACATTGGGTGCCCTGCTGAGAAACATTGGCATACACTGGCTGCTCAGCTTGACTTCAATCCTCCGTTCAGGAATGCTGGCATCGATTGAGCTCTTGTCAACATTGGCAACACTGCAACACTCACTGTTATGGGCATGTTTATTTTGTAGAGAGGCAGGAATTCATGGGCAGAGGGACAAAAAGGAAAGTCTTGACCTTGGATTTGAACAGGGTTAGGGAGTCGACAGCACGGATGGCCGGGGGAAGCGAGTTCCAGACTGTGGGGGCAGCAGAGGAGAATGAGCGACCACCGACTGAGCAAAGGACGACTGGATGGAGGCTTTGACAGAAAGCTTTGATTGCTCAATCCGAGAGTGGTTGGAGAGGGTTGAGTGAGACACGAGGGGGAGGGGTAGGATGGGGAAGGGTCCAAGTATTAAGCGGGTCTGTTTCCCCTTGTGCTCAATCCACCCTGTGATGCCTGTGCAGGTATATGTAGCATTTCAGAATGTCTTGTTATGAGAGGGTAACTTACTTGATGGTTAACATCTCGCCTTTGTCGTGAGGTGTAAACTACCTCGCCTGGTATACAGGAGGTCGTGGGCTTCGATACAGACCCTTATGCCCGTATATTTGGAGTTTGCGTTTTCTCACCATGGTCGTGTGGATTTTTCTCCTGGTCCTCCAGTTTGTCGCTCCCAAATTTAGACACATGCGTTTAGAGTATTTGGCTGCTATAAATGTCCACGTGTTAAGCCACTTTGTTGAGCTGTCATTTGTGGCCAGGTCGCCTCTGAACAAGTGCTATATGGCTCAGTGGGCCTTGCCCGGTAAAATTAAAAGTTTAAAAGTTTTATATGCATCTCTGTGAACAGCATTCTTTCCGATAGAATTACAGCAAGAGTAGAGAAAGAGAAACACGTGGAGTAGATATATGCGTACGTTCGAGACACGACATTGACTGTTTAGAAAAGTAAGTGGGCTTGGGCTGGACGAGTCGCTGGAGAGGGATGATGGCCGAGACTAACAACGGAATGGCAGACAAAGGAGGGAAACGCGGCCCAGAGTAAGACCACCGTCGGGATTGAGCGATGAAAGTGGGCACCAGATATTGTCACATCACAGAACCGTGAGAGACGCTGACGGTTCGGGGTGGGGGGAGGCCTTCGTCATGCAGTGGATACGAATGTTGAATTTCTTTTGTGCCGTACGTAAGCCAACCGTGCTAAGCGGAGGTGCGATGATGATTATGATGATGACGACGATGCGTACGAGCTATAATGCATTGTGCGTCGTGCCAGGCTGGTGACATCCGACCTGGCGTTCTACGTGGGGAATCTGCGTGGGCTGAATGGCTTGGAGCAGCTGGACCTCAATCTGACTGAGATCTGGGAGCAGAAGAGGTGATATCTACCACCGCTCCCCCCCCCCTCCCCCAAGAGGAGAATGCTTCCTGTCCCCCACCGCAGCCTCCCGCTCCCGCCACCCTGCTCCTCCCGCCCCAACCACGTGCGGAGCCGGCGTTTTGCCAAAATATCCACCGTCGGTGGCCGCGCGTTACCGTGACCGCTCAACCATCGGCGACAACTCGGCAATGGGCAACCGAGAACTCCCCCCCACCCCACCCCCAATGGCTGATGTGGAAGTGGGGTGCCGCGGAGCGAACAATGGTGACCGCAGGAAGACTTCAACTCGACGACGATTGTGACTCCTGTTGTGGCTGAAGGTGAATTGCGAAGGCGTTGAGGAAAGCCGTGGCCTGGGGGGGGGGGGCGTACTTTGCCTCGTTGACACAAACTGTGTAAGAGCTGCGCTCAATGCTGTAGGGGGGATACTGTTGTCTTATTTCTCTTGATTTGTTGTTTTGATAAATATGTATGTAAAAATGTGCAATTTGAACCCCCCCCCCCCTCCCCATGAGAGACTGGGAATAAAAAAATTAGGGAGTAAACGGAACGGGGGTACAAAGTTTGGTGCGATTAACGGTCGGCCGACCTGTGCCGCGCTCCACAGGGTGAGGGTGCCATCTCTCTGCAGGGCACGACGCGATCGCGCTGTTGCTTCCAAGCGGCGAGTCTTGTTTTAGATACTCGTGGCTTGCAATCGCCAGATTTGCAAACCTGCCCCGATGATTTGGGTCCCCCCAATACGGTAGCCACGTACCAACTCGCCACCACGGCATTTCGATGAATTACAGTTTGCACGATCTCATTTTGTACACGTAACATATACCAGCCCCTACGGTTCGTTGTGGGTTTCTTGACCGTGCTTCACCGTGCCGGTCAGTACGAGTTTGGCCTTAGGCGGGGGAGCAGACACGCGGGCGTAGAAGTGCTATGAAGTACAATGAACGTCGCTGCACTGCCCTCTGCTCACCATCGCATAGCCCTCGAGCTGCCTACGTTAACCTGGCACGCACGGTGGTCACCCATACAAGCGGTATCCAGGCTCAAGTCTGCTTAACATCTTTAGTTGTGGCAAGATCGAGCGCGTTCCGGGTGATTTGGTCATTGGCCCGTCTTGTTCTTATTCGTTCGGTCACATTCTGCTCGCGAAAATTTACAAAGTAGCACGTCATTTGCACCGGCTTTAAACGATCGATTCCGAAGGCGCAGAATCCGATGGGTTCGTCGCGAGGGAGCGTAAGAATAGCCTTTCAAATCGACGTACTGATAACTAGTTTCACGCCTACCACGTTGGCTCGGCGTGGATGAGGTGCGTCTTCAACAAAATGCTCACTTGGATCTCCATTTCAGGGGGGGGGGGGGGCCCAGGAATTATCGCTAGCTTTGAGAGTAACGCGGGAAGGGGGGGCGAGCGTTTTGTACGGAGGGGGGGGGGGCATGACAGCTCGCAACTCTCGGCTGCCGTTGTTTACATAGCATGGTGGTGCACGCGGCGCAGTGTGGTCGTGGCATTGGGGGAGGTGGGGGGGGGGCTATTTTCCCGGTGTTTCACTGAAAGGGTATTTGGCTGTTATGATTTCCGACGTGTTAATCCACTGCTCGTATTTGTGGCCGGGCCGCTTCCTGAAAAAAAGAGCCGTTTCACTCTGAGGGCCTTTCTTGGTAGAATAACACAAGTTGTTTAATAGTTTAGTTTAGTTTTAACTTGGCCCTGGCATGGCCGTGTGTAATACTGCGGGGTTTTGCAGTCGTGGGAAACGCGACATCCCGCACGTCACACCCCCCCCACCCTCCTGCTGGTTTCTCAGGCTACCGTTTGTCTTTAAGAATGTGTGCCGAGGGGATGACTGCGATTAGACCAGGGTCTATTATGTGTACATAAATATGTAGGTATACAATATATCTGAGGTAAATACGTGAATAAATAAACCGAGTCGAGGCACTGTCTAGTACTACCTGCATTAACGCGTGTCTTGGTTCCTGCTCCTCTGCAGGTTGTAAATTATAATGGTAAATTAACTGCAGTGACAATGCAAATTTACTTACAAATTACATGTAAATTACGCAAGAGGCTGTGGTATAAACGATGTAGGCATTACAAGGCATGACTTTGACAAACTTTTTTTTAATCATACTTTCCATGGCGACACACCTATGTATAGTTTTGCATAACGAGTTACGTACTTCTGTCCAAGTTTAGCGTCGGTAAATATGTTGTCCAAGAGCTGGACACAGACGGCGGCAGGCCTGTACGGGGTTGCATTTCAAATTTGTTTAATTTGATAGGCCTTGGGATTTTCGTGTTCTCACCTGGAAGATGTAAAGGTATCATTGTTTTTTCTCTAACGTAAATGGCTGTGTGGTGTATGCACTTTAGTGGAGGGGTGGTGTCACTTCGGACAGTCACCTTGACCAATAAAGAGTCGGCGGTCGAATTATCCACGTGCGTGTGGATCACGGTGGCAATGCGCAGGCTGGAAAGCTGCCTGTAGGTGGCGGTAGTACACGCGGACGGTTGCCTGCCTGCCTGCACGATCTGTGGCATTTGCGTGTTCTATTTCTCGATTTAAAGCTTTCGTGACTGCAGGGATTCATCTTATTGGTTCTTTCGGTAAAGTCACGTAGAAGGGAAGTAATAAAATAATAAAAATAAAACATAATAAAATCATTCTCACGACGTTTCGGCCACAACGCAAGCAGCCGTCCTCAGGTGAAGAACAGGTCTGTCGGAAAGACAGCGTCTGAATGTTTTTCCGACAGACCTGTTCTTCACCTGAGGACGGCTGCTTGCGTTGTGGCCGAAACATCGTGAGAATGATTTTATTATGTTTTATTTTTATTATTTTATTACTTCCCTTTTACGTGACTTTACCGAAAGAACCAAGAAGATGTTCTATTTCTGTTGCCTGCGTGCGGATTTGCTCCGAGATACTCTGGTTTCCTCTCGCATGCACATCGAGAAATGTTCCATTGCAGGACTCCCTTGATGGGGGAACAAAAAACCAGACATTTATTTTTGTGACAAAATAAATGTCAAACAAATAAAATTTCTGAAACCCCCCCCCCCCCCCCCCATGATGAAATATTTGTACAACATTGTCGTGGGTGCCAACACGTGACTTGCGACGTGACATCTGGTTTCTCACGCTTTGGTTTCTGTTGTGGTGGCGGTGTTGAAGCGGTACGACCGAGGAAGTTGAGACTGCTCGCAAAGCGGAATATACGCTTATCAGATCTACCAAACATTTTCTATCACAAAGGCAAGGTGCTTTGAGTGGTTGCTTTTATCAGCATTGAGGCTTTCAGCATTGTGTGCATGTCTCCTGGTTTACAACCTTGCAGAGCCGGTGGTGTAAAATCCACATTCCTACAGCGAGGGTGAGCGAGTCTCTCCTATTGGACAACCACCTTTGACTTCCACCGCACAGTGGTACTAGTTTTATGGACCCTGTTGAGATGATGGGCTGAGAGTGTCACGAAGCAATGATGCATTGTGGGAAGATCATCATTGTAAACACATCAATTTTGAGTAATTTAATTGATCGTTTAGCGCCGTGGGCAAAATGCATTTTTATCAGCTCTATTGGCACCCTGCAAATAAGTTAACGTTTGAAATATTTTAAATACGTCTGCTATCAATTTGTCAGTGGATAATTGTACTTGAGTCATATGTTTGATTTTAGTTTTATTTCTATGAAATTAAACAATTTATAGCATTCTTAATTTTCCAGGGTGACCACAATGACTTTTACCTGGCCAGATTTGTCCTTTTAAACTACACACCTCATGCTTGGAGAATCATTTACCGAATCATGAAGGTATTAAAGAGCATTCTTTGGTCATCCTTTGCGCAGCGTTGATAGCCTCATTCTATCTCATTTTAATATTATTTTTAAGCTGTCTGCAACATTCACGAAAGAAAATACCTTGGTCGATTTGGCAAGTCTGAGTTGCCATGCTTGGTGTTTCCATGCTTGAACCTTCCATGGTGTCTTTTGCTTGATCTCAACAAAACCAAACACTGTTATACATATGTCAGTTTACTGCTGAGCGATGTAAAATGCTTTGAAGAAAGCTAGGCAAAAAAACTATTGTTTCGTTTCGATTTAAAGTGACTGCAGGGATTCATCTTCTTGGTTCTTTCGGTAAAGTCACGTAGAAGGGAAATAATAAAATATAAAAATAAAACAGAGTAAAAAAAATTCTCACGGCAGCGCTGTCTTTCCGACAGCTCTGTTTCTTCACCTGAGGACGGCTGCTTGTGTTGTGGCCGAAACGTCGTGAGAATTTTATTGTTTTATTTTTATTATTTTATTATTTCCCTTCTTCGTGACTTTACCGAAAGAACCAAGAAGATTTACTGTTTCGATCCAAACTTTATTTAAAGATGCGAGCATTTCCCCTTTATTTTTGCTATATCTACGGCGCTGTGTGTGCTTAGAAACTCGAGCCGGCGAGGGCAGCTTTAGGCTTCATCAACAAAACGCAGGTGATCGTCGCTTGTTTGGGTTACCATTCTTTCCATACCGGAGAGGCCTTCTTGATGACATCAGCTGCCAGGTTCTCAGAGAACGACCGCATGTTAGACAGCCATCATCTCGTCAACCTGCCCACGACGATCTGTTGCCAATTTAGCTAACCACTGTGGAGTGGATAGCTAAATTGGACGTCCCATTATAAGCGTCCCCCCCCCCCCCCTCATACGAAAGAAGGTGGTCGCAACCAATTAACTAGCGCGCGTAATAGCTCGTTACATAAAAGTGGTGCAAGTGCCTGAGATGGGGACTGATGGAACGCATTGTAGCGTTAAGTGTCGGCATATCGGTGGGAAAAACGATGGGAGTGCGATTCTATTTGGCTTATGGCGAAGCAATGGCTATGTTTAAGCGACAATTTGGACTTTTGATTTTAGCAGCGAGGCTGTCACTTGTGCTGTTGAGAACGTAATCCAGTGGGAGATAATACTACTAATACAAACACGTGGCATTAAGGTTTTCTCCACGATCTCAAAGAACGTCACTTAATCGCGGCCAAAACCCAAAGCCGTGGAGTATTCTCACTGCTGTATTAGGTAGACGACGTGATACTAAGTTGGTAGTGGCGCAAAGGTGGAAATAACAAAAACACGATCATCAATAATGCTCTCAACGGGAAAGACTACAATCGGCGACGTTTTGGGCAATGATCTTTCTCCATCTGCTATACAGAAATACCGTTTCCCACTGTGTCCCCTCTCGTATAATGTTACCTCTCTCGGGCAGTGGTTATCGACGAACGTGTTAAGTAGCGTAATTTTCATGACATCGGTTAACTGTGAAAACCCACACGTTTGTCACTGTTAATTGAAAAGCAAGTTGGAAGGCCGGACGGGGGCTTGGAGGGGGGGGGGTGGTTGGAGTGTGGCGCGGGGGGGGGGCATGGTTGTTTGCCGCACTGAAAGCCACCCTTGAAGCTCTTGCGTTGATTCTGAACGGCGTCGCTGGGGACGATGGCTGGCCGACCTTGTCTCGAGAACGTGAGCCGCGCGCGCCTGAGTGGCAGGATGTGTAAATAATGTAACGGGCCCTCGTGACGTCATGCTCGACGCACGCGCGCGCGCACGCGTCGGGTGAATTGGAGGCGCAGCGTCTACACTAACGCACTTGTGCACGTACACAAGAAGACGCTTTGTATAGCCCCCACACCACTCCACTCCAACCGCCACCCCCCGCATCGTTAGCAACGTTGATCCCATCAGCTTTAATCGCATGTGAGCGCATGCTTCGGAACAACGGCACGCGTGGCACGGGTCAATCCGGGTGAAATAATCGCGTGCGGTAGAATTAACCCACCGCACGGATGGGCGAATGGTTCCCCGCGGCTCTTGTGAGCGGTCTCGGGCGGTGTACAGGTGCACCGCGAGAGGGGGTGGCTTAGATGTGAGGTGGAGGAGGGAATTATTAATTTACCCCGCCGGACGCAAGCAGGTATTTTGAAGGACGGGCCGTTTTTATGTCACAACTGCCGTGCAATAAATGCACACGCGGACTCTTGAGGACGGAGGGCTTTGTGAGTTTGGTTGATGTACGTGTGTAGGTGCGTTGCCGCTTGCTGCTACTGTCAGTGTGACGACTGTCAGTGCATTGTAGGTTCACGATCACATCTTTTGGGGAGATCGGATAACGTCAAACACTTGCACTCGGCGAACTTACCGTGCTTTGGTTCGCGATGATGAGCGTGTGTGATTCGACGTGTGATGTCGCGGTCACTGGAGTGGTTTCGACATAGATCTGAACCAGGATAAACGTAAACGATTCAGATCTTAGATGAACAAAAACGTCTTTCACTTCACATTTGAGTGCGCTGGTATTATTTTTCCTCCACGTGGGCAGGTTAAATGATTTCCGCCTCTGGTTTAATGTTTTACTCCTAAGGTGACGCGCGGCCCTCTATCTTAATACGCTTCGCTGCTTCAGAAAGCGTAATTGGCGGTGTGTGTGTGTGTAATTAAATGTAATTAAAATATTTTGCAACAAGATGCAATCGCTGTAGTTTTGTTGTGTTTTCTCCAGCTGAACGCAAGCTCCGGCCGGCATTCGACAGAAATGGGCACGCCTGGTGTGTTATTTCACCATGAATGGGAAGTGGAAACACGCAAATTAAAGTTCCGTCACGAACCTTAATCCTCACACCCATGCTTGCTGCCTGAACCGTGTATAGTAAGTCCAATTGAGACCCAAGTACTATTACGCTCACGACTATTCACACGGTGAGTTCCCTGCCGCGTACTCCAGAGTTTGTGATGTTCGTTTACTGCACGGTAAACGAAGACGGTCACCGCATGGCGCACTTTCAGGTGCGCTTCTGCGGACGTCTGGAACGCTCGATATTAGGAAGCCACCGGAACTCTGCACTTTAAAATCTCGATTGAAAACTCATCTCGTTAGAGCTGGATTTTGTGTTTAGTTTTTTTTGTCTTTTCCCCCCCGTACCTCCGATTAGCGCTGTTGTCTGCGTACGGTATGAAATAAGTTGAACATAATGAGACCTCCTTTACCAGTGGCAAAATATAGTAATAGGTTTTTACCCTTTCAACTGGTACAAAAACTGACACCTTTATACAAGGCATCATGTTTGCAATAACCACAACACAAACAGTCAAAATGCAAACAAAAAGAAACAACTCTGAAGATGATTGATATGCACTGTCCTTGAAGTTGATTGGTCCACACCCGAGACAGCTTTTCTTAGAGCCTGGTCCAACACCAATGGAGACTAGGCTCTAAGAAAAGCTGTCTCGGGTGTGGACCAATCAACTTCAAGGACAGTGCATATCATCTTCAAAGTTGTTTCTTTTTGTTTGCATTTTGACTGCTTGTGTTGTGGTTATTGCAAACATGATGCATTGTATAAAGGTGTCAGTTTTTGTACCAG